CCCCCCACCCCACCCCAGGAGTAACAAACAGACCAATTTCACCTCCAGCGCCAGCACCGAATGCCATGACATTAAAGGACTCTCGGCGGAAGTTGGGCGTCCTTAATTGAAAGCCCCTCACCCCCCCTCCCTCCCCTCCCCCTCCTTCTCCCTTACCCACTCCTCCTCCTTCTCATTCCCTCGATCAACCTCTCCTCCTCCTCCTCCTTCTCCTCCTCCTCCTCCTCTTCCTCCTCTTTCTTCTTCTTCTTCTTCATCTCCTCCTCCTCCTCCTCCTTCTCCTCCTCCTCCTCCTCCTCCTCCTCTTCCTCCTCCTCCTCCCCCGCCCTCCTCCTCCTCCTCCTCCTCCTCCTCCTCCTCCTCCTCCTCCTCCTCCCTCTTCTTCTCCTCCTCCTCCTCCTCCTCCTCCTCCCCCTCACGCCTTCTAACCTTGTAAGGAATATACACCAGCGGAGGAGGAGGGTAGGAAGAGAGAAAAGAGGAAAGGGGGAAGAGAAGTGAAGATGGGGAGAGGAAGGGAGGGAGACAGAGAAGGAGAAAAGAGTCGAGAAGGAAGAGAGAGGGGAAAAGAAGGGGAGAAGGAAGAGAGAGGGGAAAAGAGGGGGAGAAGGAAGAGGAGGGGAAAAGAGTCGAGAAGGAAGAGAGAAAGAAAAAGAAGGAAGAGGAGAGGGAAAGAGGGGAAGAAGCAAGAGGAGGGGAAAAGAGGGGGAGAAGGAAGAGGAAGGAAAAAGAGGGGGAAAAGGAACAGAGAGGGAAGGTAGAAGAAACAAACCAAAGGGAAAGTAGAAAAAAAGTAGAAAGGAGGATAGAGTAAACAAACCGAGAAGATCGGAGATGTGAGGAGGAGAGGGAGGGAAGATAACGGAAATAGAGAAGAGATGGGGGGGGAGGAGGAGGAGGAGAGGAAGAGGGGGGGGAGAGGGTAAGAGGGAGAGAAACACGCAACATAGGCCTACAGCGGAAACAGAATTTGCATGTCCTCGAGAGCTGAAAGGCAACGGCTCCTATCTCGGCCTGATGCGTTGGGAGATGAGAGAAGCAAGGGCATAAAATAGAGGGATTGGGGGGGGGGGAGATGCGACGAAGGGGGAATGGAGAAAAGGGGGGAGAGAAATTAGGGAAAGGAGGAAGGAGAGAAGAGGAATTAGGGAAAGGAGGAAGGAGAGAAGAGAGAGACGCATGAAAAGAGGAAAGAGAAGGAAAGAAAGAAAGGAAGAAATAAATAAATAACGAGAAGAAGAATAAGCATAAAAAAGGGAGACATAAAATAAGAAGAATGGGAAGAAGTGAAATTCGAAAAAAGAAAAGAAGACAGAAAAAGAACAAGACGTAAAAGAAAATAACGAAGGCTTAGAATTTAACGGTTAGGAAGAAGAATAAGAGGGAGAAAAAAAATAGAAGAAAGAGAAGAAAAAAAATGAAGAGAATGGGAAATCAACGACATATAAAGAAATGGAGGCAGAAAACAAAAAGAAAAAGAAGAAGAGAAAGAAAATAAAAAGAAGGAGTAGAGGGAAGGAGAAGAAGAAGATGAAGAGAAACAGAGGGAAGAAAGAAAGGAAAAATAGAAACAGAAAAGAATAAAAAGAGAAAGAAAAGATGAAAAGGAAAAAAGAAGAATGAACGGAGACGCTGCCTGAATGATACTACTGGCCAGGGACCCGAAGCACACATTTCTCTCGTCGCCAGTCCAAGCCAGGACGAGCCAGACGAGACAGCGCAACCTACTCGTCTCCATTCCAAGCCAAGGCAAGCCAGGACGACCCAAGTCAAGCCAGGATGACCCAAGGCAAGCCAGGACGACCCAAGGCAAGCCCGACAAGACAGGACAACCCACTCGTCTCCATTCCAAGCCAAGGCAAGCCAGGACGACCCAAGTCAAGCCAGGATGACCCAAGGCAAGCCAGGACGACCCAAGGCAAGCCCGACAAGACAGGACAACCCACACGTCCCCATCCCAGGCCAGAACAAGCCAGGACAACCCAAGGCAAGCCATACAAAGCCAGGACAACCCACCCGTCCCCATCCCAGGCCAGAACAAGCCAGGACAACCCAAGGCAAGCCAGACAAGCCAGGACAACCCATCCGTCCCCATCCCAAGCCAGGACAACCCACTCGCCCCCACACCAAGCCAGACAAGACAGAACAACCCACTCGTCCCCATACCAAGCTAGGACAACCTAAGGCAAGCCAGACAAGACTGAACAACCCACTCGTCCCCATCCCAAGCTAGGACAACCTAAGGCAAGCCAGACAAGACTGAACAACCCACTCGTCCCCATCCCAAGCTAGGACAACCTAAGGCAAGCCAGACAAGACTGAACAACCCACTCGTCCCCATTCCAAGCTAGGACAACCTAAGGCAAGCCAGACAAGACTGAACAACCCACTCGTCCCCATTCCAAGCCAGGACAACCCACCCGTCCCCACATCAAGCCATTCCAAGCCAGGACAACCCAAGAACAAGCCAGACAAGGTGACGCCAGATGCAGGGACCTGA